TCAGGGCGCAACTGTAATGATGAGTCGCGGCGATGAATTCCCAGGAGTGGTGCTCTGGCACGCTTCGGGATTTCCAGACGGGTGTCTTCCAACGGGCCTTGTAGGGTCTTGGGAACAAGGAGCCTGGAAGGAGGGTTTGTTGCAGCATCGTTTTAGAACATGTTCGAACCCATTCTCGACGTCTTAGACGCTTCTAGAACATGTTAGGGCCCATCCTCGACGTCTTCTTCCTCCTCCTCCTCCTCTTCCTCCCCCTCCTCCCCCGTATACACCTTGGACCCCATGGAAGCCTCCTCCCCCTTGTCCTCCCCGTCTTTCTTTGTGTCCTCTTCCCCCTCCGCCTCGTCTTACTCCCCCACCTGTAGCCATTTTGGCTCAAGTTCGAAACCTTGCCGCGAGGCTTCGAGCTTGCCCGCAGCCGTGCGGCAGGCCCGAGCTATTGTCGCGTGTTCTTTGAACCGGAGACTTCTGGCCAGGGGTTCGCGACCCCATCAGTATGTCTTCCCAGCAGTACGTGCAATGTCGGCAGTGCAGTTACACATTGAACTGGCGTTCGAGGGAGAAGTGCTACCAGTGTGACTGTGCGCTCAAACCCATGGCGACGTCCCAGCTGGTGATGCTGCCCCCGTTGTTGCTCACCCCCCAGCTGGTATCGTTGATCGACTTGTCGCGGGAGATGGGCTTGGGGGTGCGAATGCCGGGGTCCAATGCTCAGGCGTTGTGCCTGGGCGTGGGCCGAGCTCGACCCGAGGGATGTGGATGTGGAGCTTTTGCGCCGTAGGAGTGCCCCTCTAGCTGGCCGCAGGCAGACCGGTGACAGAGCCGAGCTCGGGGCTTTCATGGATTGCTTGCAGCAGCTCCCTGGGGGTCTGGCCTATCCGCGCCATTCTGGTCGCGTTGTTCGGGGTTGGTGAGAAGTTTCGGCGGGCGGCTGGCCCACGTCTAACCGGGATGCGTGGTTTTCTTTGGCCCAGCATTGCTTTCCAGACTTGGCCGGGCCAGCGCAATTCGAGTGTTGGGCCGCGTGCGCGCGGGCCGCTTCCGTGCCGGTGGCCTTCCCGAGCAGCTTCGCTTGGCAAGCGTCGAGGCAGACCAGGTCGCTGAGTGGGGATCGGGGGAGTGCCACTTGGACCCTGGTATTGCCCAGAGCGTGATCGCTGTCGATGCCCTTGCCGAGCAGATCAGGGCCAGTTCAGCCGCCGCTCTCAGTGCTTCCGCTGTCCGCGACAGCCGCGGACAGAGAGTTCGGAAAGTGGCATGAGTTCCCAGAGGAGGGCTGTCCAGGCCCCCCCCCCCGAAAAGACGGCCTTCCACTCCTGGAATCTCGGTTTCGCTGCCGGTTTTGCCACCAGATGCCCTCGAAGGAGGGGCTGTCGAGTGGCTGTCCACCTCGATCGCGCCGATCGATTCTGGTGTTGCCCCCGCCTCCTCCCGCCTTGCTCCGCTTCGGATCGGGAATCAGACCGTTCGTCCCGCGCGTGCCGCGCGGTTTTCAATCGCGCTGACTGTTGGGCGTGCGCGTCGCGCGGCGCCTTGGGAATGGGTCGTTCGATTTTTCTTCTCGCCCAGTCCTGTCGACCCGCCTCGAAAAAGGGAGTTGGGAATCTCGAGAAGCTGGAGCAGGGCTTCATCCCGGGTGCGACTGCCCAGTTACGACCTTCAACGCCAAGGCCAAGGCGCCCCTTCGGGGGAGAAGCAGAGCCCCGTCCCCTCCCCCATCTTCCCCTCCGTGAGATCAGTTGCGCGCTCGGTGCAAATTTATTCCCCCTCCGTCTGCTTCCGTCGAGAGGAGGCGGAGGAGAAAAGAGGAGGGGGGCAGATGGAGTCAGGGATGATGATGATGATGATGATGATGATGATGATGATGATGATGATGATGATGATGATGATGATGATGATGATGATGATGATGATGATGATGATGACGATGATGATGATGATGATAATGATGATGATGCTCATGCTGATGATGATGCTGATGATGATGATACTGATGCTGGTGATGCTGATGATGACGTCAGTGATGCTGTTGATGGTGGTGGTGATGGTGATGCAGATCATGAGTATTTCTCTGTTGTTGATCGTTCTGATGCTTACGATGATGATGATGATGATGATGATGATGATGATGATGATGATGATGATGATGATGATGATGATGCTGATGCTGATGATGAGGATGATGGTCATTCAGGAGGGGAAACCACACAGACATAATTAATCGACGAATCCCATGACAACACGGGAGAGTATGGGCTCCGGTGTGGGAAGACGGCAACCCAGAACATAATGGAAACTATTGGGAATCTTGGAAATTGTGTGTATTTACTTGTGTGTTCTTGGCCTTGTTTGAATCATGGTGCTGCTATTGCCGCTGCTGCTGACGATGATGATGGCGAGGGCGAGGGCGTGGATGAGGCTGATGATCATGATTCTCAAGATGATGAGGAGGCCGAGAATGAGGATGGTGACGAGGATGAGCATGATGATGACGATGATGATGATGTTGATAATGATGCTGATGCTCCTGATGATGCTGATGATGTCGACAATGCTGATGCCGCCGGCGATGATGATGATGAGGATGCTGATGTGGATGAGTGGGGTGGTAACGATGTTGATGATGTTGGGGATGACGATGGTGATTCGGATATTGATTGTGGTGGCGGTGATGACGATAAATGACGATGATGACTGCGATGAGGATGCGGATTAGGGTCAGGAGGATGATGGTGATGGTGGTTTCGGCGTAAATATGATGATGCTGATGATGGTGATGATTTTGTTGATGGTGCTGATGATGCTAATGATGAGAATGATGGTGATAATGATGATGGTGATGGTAATGACGAGATTATTGATGATGATGATGGTGACGTTGATGATGATGGTGGTGACCGCGACGATGGTGATGCCGACGACGACGGCAGTGATGATGGTGGTTGTGGTTGTGGTGGCGGTGGTGATGAGGACCACGACGGCCATGGTGAGGATGATGGTGATGAGACGCTGATGCTGACGATACGATGATGATCATGGTGATGATGATAGAGGTGGTGGCGATGAGGATGATTCTGGTGATGATGATGATGATGATGATGATGATGATGATGATGATGATGATGATGAGGATGAAGTGGATCATGCCGAATCTGATGATGTTGATGCTAATGCTCCTGAAGATTATGATGATGATGGTTGCGACGAAAATGGTGAATCTGATGTTGAAGACGATGGTAATCGTGGTGGTGGTGGTGGTGATGACGATGGTGATGATGATGAGGGGGGTGCGGATTAGGATGGCGATGGTGATGCTGATATCTATGCTGATGGTAAAGAGGATGCGGGTGCTGATGATGATGCTGGTGATGATGATGGGGATGCGGATGGTGATGTTGATGATGGTGACGAAAATGGAGATGATGATAGCGACGGCGATGATAATAATGGTGATGAATATGTTGATCATGATGATGAGGGTGGTAATGATGATGGACATGGTGGTGAGGGTGAGGGTGATGATGACGATGCTCACGGTGATGGTGTGTGTGTGTGGGGGGGACGATGATGATGCTGATGATGCCGGGGTTGATGGTGATGGTGATGGTGGTCATGATGATGAATGGTTTGGTGATGCTGATGATGGTTGTCGTGATGGTGATGATTGTGATGGTGGCGCCGACGACGACGATGATTATGGCGTCGGTGGCGATGATGATGCTGATGATGGTGAGGATGATGCGGGTGATGGTAATGCTGGGTGTTATGATGGTCATGATTTCGGTGATGACACTGGCGGTGTTGGGGATGATGGTGATGATGGTGCTGATGTATGTGAATTAGTGTTGATGGTAGTGATGGGGATGAGGATGAAGATGGGGGCGAGGATGATGGTGGTGATGACGACCGCGATGATGACGGCGATGATCAGGACGACGATGACGACGGCGATGATGATGATGATGATGCATACGGTGGTGGTGGTGGTGACGAGGGTGATCATGCTGCTAACGATGATGATGGTGATGATGGGGAGGAGGAGGATGAGGATGATAATGCTGATGATGTTGGTGTTGACGATGCTGATGATAATGATGACGCCGCCGACGACGGCGATGATAATGATGATGATGGTGTTGGTGTTGGTAGTGATGGTGAGGGTGGTGGTGGTGGTGGTGATGATGAGGATGGTGATGACTATGATGATGTGGATGATGATGGCGGTGGCGATGGCGATGACGATGATGATGATAATGATGGTGATGGGGAGGATGATCATGATTCTGAGGATGATGATGATGATGATGATGATGATGATGATGATGATGATGATGATGATGATGATGATGATGATGATGATGATGATAGGGATGAGGATGCAGATGATGAGTATGACGATAATGACGACGATGACGATGACGGCGATGACAACATAATACTTTGATGATTACGGTGATAGCGGTGATGATGATGATGATGATGATGATGATGAGGATGATGGAGGTAATGGTGGTGATGACGACGATGGTCTTGGCGGTGGTGGTGATGAAGATGATCATCATCATGGTCATGATCATGACGTCGATGATGCTGATGATGATGTCAATGACGATGATGATGTTGTTGATGATGATGACGATACGGATCACTTTGATAAGATGGTGATGATGAAGGTGATGCTGATGAGGATCGTAATTGCGGTGGCGGCGGCGATGATTGCAATGCTGCTGATGATGCTGATGTTGATGATGATAACGGTGGTAATGATGATGCTGATGGTGATGATGATGATGGTGATGTTAATGATGCTGCTACAGAGGAGGAGGGAAGAGAGGAGAGAGGTGTGATAAAACGAGGGAGGGAGGGAGGGAGGGAGGAATGGAGGGAGGATGATGAGGAGGATGAGGAATATTTGGATGACGATGATGATGACGACGATGATGCGTAGTAGGTGTAGGAGGAGGAACTGCTTCTTCCTCTCCATCATGTCCCCGCCGGAGGCGTCGTAGCCTTCAAGTCCAGAGCTGGGAACTTCATCACCGTGGAAGAGGAGTGGGCGAGGGGCTCAGTTTCCTGCTGACGGGGGGCATGCACTTCATGACTCCCGAGAAAGGCGAGGAGGAGAGGGAAGAGGAGGAAGAGGAGGATGAGGCTTTTATCCTTTTGTCCAACTGCGCTCGCGATGCCAGATTCGTTGCGCACTCAGCTTACGTCGTCCTTTTTGCTCAGTTTTATTGTCACCGAGCGCTACAAGCATGGCACTTGAAGGTCGCCCAGCCCCAAAAAGAGGAGGAAGAGGAGGATGATGATCAGGAGGGAAAAAAACACATACAGTCACACATAAACCTTAACTTATGAACACATGGAAAAGATGGGAAGTGTAATGGAAGACGAAACTCCAGGACATATGGAAACATCTGGGGACCATTTATTTTCATGTCCCTGGGCCATTCAGACGAGGAGGATCGAAAGCATCAAGGAACGAAGGCGTTTCAATGTTTCTGCAAGGTTTGGCCCAGGGCTCTCCTTCTCTGGGCGATGCTTTGGCCCCAGACTGGAGTACCCAGCAGGTGGTGTCGCATTTAGGCGCGTACATATACGTGCGCGGAAGGGTATCGACACGCGGGTTTCCAGAACATCTACGAGCGTAGTTCCTCTTCGAGAACGCGGCCTTGGAATATCATGAACGCTCGCAGGTGCTGGCGTCGGTGAACGCACTTCAGCGGAGCCAGCGAGGGAGGGAGAGACAGACACCAGCACCTGCCACCGCGTATCCAACAGGCGTCTCGGCACGCATGCGTCTGGTGTATATCTTCACGTGCCTTTGGCGCCAGAATGACCACTGGTGGAGTTTCCGACAGCGGAGCGTCGAATGCTTTACGCGGCAAAATGCATGCGCGGATGGGGGTACCCATCATGCGTCTGACTCGTGCGCGTTTGGTGCGCGCTTTCACCTGTCCAGACCCAGGGGGATGATCCAATATGCAGTCTCACACGTAAGAACATGCGCGGAGAGAGGTACCCAACATGCATTTGGTGATTGGCCGTTTGGTACATCTTTGCGTGTCCAGGTTTCCAGGGGGTATCTAACATACGGCCGGACGTGCGGAGAGCGGGGAGTATTCGACATGCGTTTGGCGCGTGCGTGTTTTGCACATGTGTTGACGTGTTCAGATGTCCAACGTGCGGCTGGCGGAGTCTTCATTCATAAAAAACGTGCAATGTATTTTCACGCGTTTAGGCTTCCACGGGGATATCCAACGTGCGGTCGGCGGGTTCTACGGGATGTAGGAATAGGTGCGCGGTGGTGTATTCATCATGCGTTGGACACGTCTTGTTACTTGTTCAGATATCCAATGCGCTGCCGGCGGAATTTTCACGCGTAGAAGTACGTGCCACGTATTTTCACTCGTGTAGGCCCCCCCCAGGAAGATATTGAACGTATGGCCAGCGGGGTTTAAGGGTCTGCAAAAATACTTGCGCGGAGGGGTGTATTCAACATGCGTCGGGCGCGTTCGCGTTGGGCACGTCATTTCACGTGTCCAGGGCCCCGGGGGGATACCCAACGTGTGGTCGGCGGATTCGTCACACGAGAAGATAGGTTCACGGAGGGGTTCCGCCATCATGCATTTGGCTCGTGCGCGTTTGGCAGGTCTTTTTGCGCAGGCAGGCCCTGAGGGGGGGTATCCAACATACGTCTGGAGCATGCGGGTTTAGCACGTCCTTCCACGTGTCCAGGCCCACAGGAGAGTATCCAACATACAGTCGGCGGAGTCTTCTCACGTAGGAATACGTACGCGGAGGGTGCATCCAGCATGCATTTGGCGAGTGCCTGTATGGCACGTCTTTTCATGTAAGTAGGCGCCAAGGGGGGTATTCAGCATGTGGTCGGCGGAGCATTCACAAGTAGAAACACGTGCGCGCAATATGGGGGTATCGAACATGAGTCTGGCGCGTGCGCATTTGGGATGTGTTTGTTCACTTGTGCAGGCGCGAACTGGGATATCCAGGTGGTCGCGGATTCTTCACACGTGCAAATACGCGCGCGGAGGGGGTATCGAATCTGCGTCTGGCGCATGCTTCCTCACGTGTGTAGGCGCCAAGCATGGTATCCAACATGTGATCGGCGGATACTTCACACATGAAAATACACGTGTATGTGAGGGTCCTGTATATGTGTAGATGAGGGTCCTCCGGCGCATCTTCGACGCTCCGAGGTTCGGCCCGGCCGAGACGGACAAGGAGGTACGGCTCCGCACCAAGACGCCGAGCATTGCTTGTCTTCTATGCCGGGCCCGCCTCGAGTTCCTCGGCCGGATGGTCCGCCGGCAGCCGCCGCACGTCATCGCGCTCCTCTCGACCCGTCGGCAAGACCGTCCGCTACCGTGGGTGGCACTGCTCCGGTCGGACCTGCCGCGGCTCCGTGATACAGTTGCCTTCTGCGCTGACATGCCTGAGCCGAGTGATGCTTTACCATGGTGCCGGCTCATCGTCGAGTCCTCTGGGAAATGGGCGTCTGCTATCGCTGGCGTGCATTTTCCCGATTCTACTGCGGATGCGCCGTCCGCCAATGCCGCGGACGACGCAGAAACGCTACCACATGTTTGTCCGATGTGCCACAAGAGGTTCCCAACCACGCGTGCTCTTGAGAGTCATCGCCGTGCCAAGCACAAAGTCTTGGCCCCGCAGCGCTACTTTGCCCCTGCCTCTGGCGTGTGCCCGAGCTGTGGTACTTGTTTCCGCTCGCGCCTGCGCCTCCTCGGACACTTATGCGATCGAAGGCGCCCCAAATGTTGGGACGCTATCCGTGTGCAGCCGAATCTGAAGCTTCCAGATGCCGTTGTGGCCCGGCTCGACGCTGCGGACAACAGGTCTCGCCTCTCCGCCCGTCGGGACGGCCACTCTCACGACCTCGCCGTTGGCGCGGCACAGCGTGATGACGGCAGGGTGGTTGGCAGAGCATCTCGGTAACTGATTTGTATGTCTGCCAGCCGCAGCGAATTTTTCCAGACGCGTCATGGCCATCGGGTAGGAAAAAAAGGAAAAAAAACCCAAAAACATGAAAATACGTGCGCGGAGGGGGGTATCGAGCATGCGTCTGGCGCGTGCGCATTTCGTGCGTGTTTTCACGTGTGTAGGCGCCAAGGAGGGTCTACAAGAGGTGGTCGGCGGATTCTTCGTACGTGACAGTACGTGCGCGTAGGGGGTATCCAACATTCGTCAGACGCCTACACTTGGGACGTGCTTTCACGTGTGTAGGCGCCAAGAGGGATATCCAAAATGTGGTCGGCGGATTCTTCGTACGTGAACCCACGAGCGCGGAGGGGGTATCCAACATGCGTCTGGCGCACGTGTGTAGATGCCAATGGCGTATCCAACATGTGGTCTGCGAGTTTCCTGCTTGTTGTTTGTCGGGATTGCTCTCGGAGCTCAAAGGGTGGCCAGCAGCGGTGGTACTGACGACAATACAGCACACCGCACCGCAAAGCCCAGCATAGCATCGAGTCTCACACCGTGGCGTGTCAACGAGTGCACAGCAGACGTGTCGTGGACCCCTCAAGTCTTGTAATTGTTGGGCCTCTGGTGGGCCTCTCGAAGCCCCCCCCCGGGGAATACGCAGGAGGAGGAGAAGAAGAAGGGGTAGGAGGAGGAGGAGGAGGAGGAGCAGGGGGAGGCCAACGTTCGCACATTCGGGCCGAATGTTTCGAAACAGTGGGGAAACACCAGTCCTCCCTGGTCGTCAGAGTTCTTCGAGGAGGGAGGGTGAGAGGAGGGAGGACGAAGGAGGAGGGAGGACGCAGAGGAGGGAAGACGAGGAGGGAGGAGGGAGGAGGGATGGTGATGATGCTGCTGCTGCTGATGAGAACGGTGGTGGTGGTGGTGATGATGATGGTCATTGTCATGGTGGTGGTGATGATGACGACGATGTCTGATGATGGTGATGATGACGATGATGATGCTGGTGATGAGGAGCAGGAATGAGGGGGACGACGATGGCACTAAGGCTGCTGCTAGTAATGATGCGGATGGTGATGGTAATGGCGATGCTGATTTTGACGGTAAAGGTGATGACGGTGATGTTGATGTTGATGGTGCTGGTGATTGTGGTAATGGTGCTGCTGCTGATGATGACGATGATGATGCTTACGACGACGACGACGGATGATGATGATGATGACGATGCTGAAGACTCTGATGATGATGCCGATGGTGATACTGATGATGATTGTGATGATGATGCCTATGACGACGACGGCGATGATGATGGTGATGGTGATGGCGACGATGAGGATCATGATGTTGGTGATGGTGAGGAGAATGAGGAAGAATTGGATGATAGTGACGTGTGAGTGTGATGGCCATAGTGATGTTGATGGTGATGGTGAAGGTGACGGTGGTGGTGGTGATGATGACGACGCTTACACTGATGTTGGTGATGTGGTGAATGCTGATGGGTACGATGATGATGATGCTGATAATGATCATGATGCTGCTGATCCTGATGCTGCTGATGATGATGATGATGATGATGATGATCACGACGATGCTGCCGATGATGATGATGGTGATGATGGTGATGACGACGACGATGATGATGCCGATGATGACGATGACGATGTTGATGCCAATGCTCATAATACTGGTGCTGATGATGGTGATAATACTGATGATGACGACAATGACGATGACAACCATGATGATGATTGCAATGATATTTATAATAATACTACTATGCATAAGCATACTAGTAGCAATACTACTACTACTACTACTACTACTACTACTACTACTACTACTACTACTACTACTACTAATACTACTACTATTAATAGTATTAGTATTAATAATGTGAATGATACTAATACTAGTAATAATACTATTCATAACAGTATTAATATTATGAATTATAACAATAGTAATACTATTAGTAACAATAATACTAGCAGTAATAATACTACTACTAATACTAATACTAATGCTATACCAATACTATTAATCATAATAATACTTACTAGTATAATTATACGTTTAATATTATTATTATTAGTATTAGTAGTAATAAGAATAATAACAACAACAATACTCATAATACTACGACTAATAATAAATAATACTAATAATAATAATATTAATAATAATGATGCTAATAATAATAATACTAATAACAATACTACTAATAATAATAATAATATTAATAATAATAATACTAATACTAATAATACTAATAATAATAGTAATAATAATAGTAATACTAATAATGATAACCATAATTATTCTTATTATCATTATTATTTTTATTATTATTATTATAAGTATTTTTAGTATTATTATTATTGTGCTGCTGATTACCCCCCCCTCCCCTTGCAGAGCGCCCATCTGCAAAGCGGACCCTCCCGCCTTTCCCTGCAGCTCCCGCTCCCGCCTGAGAGGGCCCCCCCCCTTTGCAGCCCTCCGCCCTCACCCTGACAGAGCAAAACTCTGGGGGGGGGGCGAAATCGAGAGGGGGGGGATTGCTGGCAGGGGGGGGGGGGTCGAGCACTGAATTCGATAGTTCATGAGGTCCCCCCCCGCCCCCCTCCCAAGCAGAGCTGAAGCTCATGCTGAAGCAGAGCTTCAGCTTAGTCTTCTTAAACTCACACGCCGGATCGGCGGATTTTCTTCCGAAATCCGCTTGTAGGAGGACGTGCCCGACCTGGCCACGGCGGCTGCCCTTCTCCGCGGAGGCGGCGCGGGGGCCGCGAGGGCGCGAGGATGGCCGCGCGTCGCGCGCCTCGCGGGGCGCGACCTGCGATGTTAGGTGGCCCAGGAGCACCTTCGCGGCGACGGCTTTGGGGGGAGGTGCGGTCGTCGTCGTCGATCCTCGGCCTCTCGGAGCCGGGGGTCCTCCTGGCGCCGCCTCGGAGGGGGCCGCAGCGCGGGGGGGTCTCCTGGGCGCCGCCTCGGCCGAGGTCCACGACTACAAGACGTCCCTCCGGATGGTGCCCAAAGGAGGAGCCCGGTCCCTTTGGTGCCCGGAAGGAGGAGGAGGAGGAGGAGGAGGAGGAGGAGGAGGAGGAGGGAGGAGGAGGAGGAGGAGGAGGAGGAGGAGGAGGAGGAGGAGGAGGAGGAGGAAGGGGCGGAGGAGGAGGAGGAGGAGGAGGAGGAGGAGGAGGCGGCAGGGTGCTGGAGGCAAGCAGTGCTGGCGCCGTCGCGGACCTGCCAGAGGAGTGGCAAATCCTTCGGGCCCAGCGCCGCCATGCTCGCGATGTTCGGGTGGTTCGAAGAAGCACTCGTCCATGAAAACCAGCGTCGTATTCAGTGCGACATATCCTGCCTGCCCATGGTCGTCACCATCAGCAGCGGGGAAAGCACGGGCAATGTCGCCGTGGCAATGTTGCACCCGGCAAAGCCAGCCATGCGCCCCCGCATTACCTCGACGAGGGTCCCGGGGAGCGTGCTTGCG